CTTCTTGGTTTAACTTAAACCAGAGTCCCTTAGTATCCCAGGGCTCCAAGCTCCACAGCAGAGCTTCCCCTTCCCCTTTGCTCCTTGGCTGGAGCTCTGGAAGAGATTTGCAGGCACAGAAGGGTCTGCCTGGCTTCCCCCTGCCTCATCCCTCCTTCACCACTCACTGCTCAAGCAGGGATCCCTCCCTCCTCTCTCCCACAGCACAGACTAGCCAGAATATGGTATGCTAGTTAATGCTAAGAGGTGTCTGTGTAAGGCAGACAGGACAAAGGCAGACAGGACAGTGTCCACTTAGGGCTTTTTGGAGCTAATCAACAGGTAGCTGGTAACATCCCTCCATTCCTTCCTTGGAAAAAGTTGTTTAAGAAGAGCTTAAATTAATGAGAAAGGCTTTTGTTTTGCTGATGGGCTTATAAATGGCGTGTAACTTTCTGTTGTGCAAGTAAATGCTGTGTAACTCCCTGCTGGCTCTGTTGCTGGTCAGAGGAGTAGCGAGGGGAACCCCTCCCTAATCAGAGCATCCTGCTGGGGCTTGGCCACATCCCCTCAGCTCAGCACTGTGGAAGGGAAGGGAGGGTTGCTCTAGTGCCCCTCCCCGCAGCTTCTAGCCTGAGCCACTGCAGGCATGTGCCTGCATTTCCTCAGTCCAGAGGGGATGTCTGTACGGTAACAAACCAGTTCAGCTTAGCCAAGTTAGACTAATCTGCAAAGATTGAATCAATTCAGGCTCAGGCTTTTTGAATGTCTGTTGCTAGCCTATGAAATATGGAAAAGTTCAGCTTAACAGGATTTTTTGTTGTTGTAAAGTTACAAGCAAGTTAAAGCAGGGGCTTAAAACAGAACCGGCTCATAGCGATACTCCAACATTTAATCCTGCCACCAAGGAAGAGACCTGCATTTCCAAGAGGGCTGTTTTTTTTCCCCACCACCCAGCATCTTGTGCAGTTAGTTACGCTAGTGATTACAATTGTAAAGGGGATAGAAAATGTTTCATGTCAGAGCTGCATTATTTTACACTCACTTTATGGGTTTACTTTAAATGACCTCCTGGTGGGTAGGGCAAAGGTCTGAAAATCCCCTTGTTTGTCAAGTTAAAACTTAACCCATAGACAGAAAAATAAATTATTTGGAAAGTAAAATACTCTTTCACTTACCTGGAATTACCGTAATTGTTTTCAGTGCACGGAGGACACGGAACGTTCTTAAAGCAGAGATATTTCCCAAATCCACAAACTCTGTGGTATAACTATAGAAGAGCGGAGAGAGGAGGGAACATTAGACATTGTGCCACTGCTGTGGTGGGAGTCAAGGGGGCATCTCCTCAGCACTTGAATCTGCTGTTGTCAGTGACTCTGTCTAGACAAATCTGACTCAGCTTAGAAGCAAATGCTAACTGAGGGACCTTAATTAAAGGGTGATGGTGAATGGCAATGGATCAGGGTGGAAAATATGGACTAATGGAACAATGCAAGAATCAGGGTGAGGAGTGGTTTGATTCAACACTGTCACTGCCAAGGTGGCAGAGGGAGCATCCATCATATTAACCATGCTCACAGATGGTATTAAACAGTGGGGACTTGCAAGTACTGGACAGACATGAGACATAATATTAAAGGATCCCTTGGACTGAGATTAGACATATGGGAAGAGAACAGCAAAATGAGATTCTATCTGGATAAATGGAAGCCATAAACCAGCCCTGCATGTGAAGGACAAGGCATAGTGACTCAAGAAGGCCTGCCCCAGTCCTGGCAACAGATGGCCAGCAACTGGCGCAAAACTCAAGTGTGCACCAGAAATACCACAATATGCACCAGGGAAGTATAACCCTCTGTGGCACTGAGATTAACTCCACCAATGCAAATCTAAAATCTCTTTGTCAACATTTCGGATTTGTAGTAGTGCTGCTGTGCCAGGGCTGGAATGAATGGCCATTAATAATGGCCGTTAATGCTGGGACACAGGCAAGTCCCTAGTGGAGACTACAAGCTCTGGCCATTTTTTAGGGGTTCCTTCCAAGTCACTTCCTTGTGGTGACATCACAAATGTTATCAGATGATTAGCAGAACTTCTCATCCTTCCTGAGGATACTTACGCCATAACAATGACACTGAAATCCAGCCAGTTCCACGGATCTCGCAGGAATGTAAAACTGTCAATGCAAAACCCTCTTGCTAGGATCTTTATCATGGACTCAAAGGTATATATTCCAGTGAAGGTGTATCTGAAACGAGGAGCAGTGACTTAACATAGAAAATATGAGTAGCTCAGAGGAAAGGTATCCAAGACAAGAGGCTTGCAACAACATTCTATAAATGCTAAAGCCTAAAGACCCATATGGCAGCTTGGAAATGGGAAGACTTGTCATTTATTTACCGGAGCTGCCACAAGTACAGAATTGGGAGCCTTTATGTAGGTGAACCACTAAATGCTGGTGCTGATTTCAGCACTAGCTGGATTTTCAAATTATCTCAGAGCACTGAGTGCACGTGAGGTGCTAAGCCTTTGAGAAAAACTGGCCATAGGAATAGCTGACATCACAGACACTGCAAACTCCAGCCCCTGTTTAGTTGCATAAGCAGAGCTGTGCTCTTCAGAAAAGCTAGCAGTGACTGTGGGTTTTGAGCCCTGGCTCCTCACATCCCTGGTATGAACACAATGGATCAGATCAAAAAAGGCATGTGTTTTAAAATCAATTCCCATTGAAACCATTGAAACTTAAGCACTAAATAGGAGATAAAATAGGCACATAAGCATCTTGTTGCATCAGGCTCTACTTCTGAAGAACACTGAGTACTTCCTCTCTCAACCACCTGTTTGATCACTCAGGGCCTTCTCAAGGGGGAGAGCTGGTGGAAATCTGGCTCTGAATTGTGAGTGTTGAGCTTGCAAGCACCCACCCCTAGCAAAATAGGCTTGCTTGGGTTAGGCCCATTGGCACAAGAGCATGGGCCACGCCTGTTCTGCAGCTGAGCAGCTTTTTTAGCATGGTGGGCAACTATTCAGAGATGCCCCCTTTGTTATGAGAGCAGAGGCTAATCATGAGTTTCCACTGAACACAGTGACAGATTAGCTCAAGCATCTGCAAAACTATACACTTCATTCTCTGAAAAAAGTGTCCGTTTCCCAAAGCCCCTCCTCAACAACAGGACACAGCTGTATAGGTAGCTGCCTTCTGGCAAACTGGGGAGCTCTAGCGCCGTAGGGAAGAGGAGCAACAGGAGGAAAGGAACTTACTCCACATTCTTGGACCACGGCGGGGGGTCGTTCATCGTCATAAACACACAGTTGGTTAAAATGGTGATCATGATGAACATACTGAATAATTTAAATCCAGGTCAAGGACAAGTTCTCCAGGTCTGTCACAAAGTTCATCACCCCAAGTGATATGCAAGACTTTGCAGAGGCAGGGCTCAAGGGCAAGAATAAGTTTCCCTCCCCCCTCTCCTACAGCCAGCTTCCCAGAACTGACGCTTGGCTCGTGACTTTCCACTTGGAAGGGAGCCTGGCCTGGGAGACCTTAAAAATATTCCACCAACATTAAACACTTTCTGCCTGCAGCTGTACTCAGAGCCAGGTTCCCCATGTCCCAGCCCCTCCTGGCATGCCATGGCCCTTCTCTCAGGTCCACTGCTGCTTAGTTTTAGCCACTGGCTCTCTGCAAAAAGGTTTTTTGTAAAGATTTTCCCTTGGCCCCATTTTCCTGCCCCTCTGGTAGCTTCCCCTCATCTCTGTCTCCACAAGCTTTGTAGGATGGATTCAGCTTACCCTACCCAGGCCTCTTTGCCTACCACTGCTTCAAGTTTTCTCCAGAGGACACTGGATGCTGTCCCAGTGGGCCACTGAAGACATCCCCCTTATGAACCTCTCAGAGATGTGCTCTGATTCAACAACAGCTACAGGTCTTGGAGCAGAGATTAATTCAGAGAAGGCCAATGATCTGGTTCTGCACAAGGTCAGACCAGATAAACACAACAGTCTTAAAGTGTATGAATCGCTTGGCCAAATTAGGGGGACATGTCTTTAAGCATGCTCTCTTTGGGGTTTCACATGCCTTTAACTGCAGCTCACCACTTCCCTGCCCTTAGGCCAGCACCTAGAGAAACAGGCATATCCTTGTTTCATCTCCTTGCCATACCTTGACCTTTCATCTCTTTGAACATGTTGCAATTGCTGGCAAGTAGAAAACTCAATCCCCTTCAGTTTTGCTACCTTTCTTCTTACTTCCCTATCACTGTCCTTCTAGGCTGGGTCTCATGATCTCATCTTTTTCCCCCTTAGTCTCTCCGCTATGTTAGTTAAGACCACAGAATTGATGTTCAAAGAGAAACATCTGTTGCCTAGCTGCCTGCTGTACTAGGGAAAGGATATGAATGTATAAGCACTTTGATGGCACCTCTTCTGATGGGGTTGAAGGGTCCCAGCATGTAGACAGCAGGGGTTGCTGAGAATCGGAAGATTGATTTCCCTTTGTTTAGGACTATGAATGTCTGAAAAACAAAGAGACAGGAGATTCATCACTCCCCCTTCACAGCCAACAAAAAAGGTTTAAACCTGTGGCCACCGGCATCCCATACTTTTAAAATATCATTAAAACTAGAATTCCTGCACTATCACAAAATAGCATACACTGGAATACCTATCCCTCAGCATAAGATGAAAGGAGTGAGAGCACATCTGCTCTCAGGGTTATGCCACACTTTACACTTAAAGTGTGTTAAATGCACTTAAAAGGCAAGCAGTTACATATTCAAGCTGTAAAATGTGCTCAGGGCATTTGTATCATATCAAAGTTGAAACTTTTTGCTTGAGGAGTATCAACAGAAAGTATTAAATAACACCTGTTCAGCTATCTTTGGACTGCTCCATGGGGATAATATAAGCAATGCGTGATCTTCACAGTGGTGATATCAGCTGGGATGATATCACCCATCTGCTGTACCAAGCCTCCAGGTGGGATGAAAAAGCCATGCATCACAAGGAAGGATCCTGGATCTTTCACTTGTCAGGTTTCTCCAGGAGGGTCTCAGGGGCTGACAATCAGCTGGCTGTTGATCCCAGCCCCAGAACTGCACTGGAGCTGGATGAAGAACCTGGTGCAGTGCTGGGGCTGGGACAGACAATCAGCAAACTGTGCATGTTAGAGATGATAGTAAACTTTACTGTGAGAGTGATCAGGACACATTCCAGCTTTCATGGCACCCACCTGGGGGACAAGGCCCTAAAACCACCTAAAGCTATCCCTCCTGATGGCTGCTACACCAGCTGCCCACTCCAGCAGGGCAGGACAATGCTTAAGACTCTAGGTCTTTGCACTACAGCTGCTGGAATGGCTTTTGCCAGGTCCTTTTAGGATCAGTCCTCCACTGGCTGTTGCTACTCACTGCATCTGGGTTCTCAAGCACACTGAAGCAGGTGAAGCCATCTTGATGTCATAGGAACATAGGACTGGCAGGGCCTCATTGGCACTTACTATTCCTGAGGATGCTGCCACATTGCAACCTCCTAAAAGCAAAGTGTCTCTACATACCAAAGGGTAAATGCATGGTCGGGTAGGTTTTTGCATTTGTTGTGGATATGGGGGAATGAAACCTGCTAAGAGGAATCCTACAGAAATTAGCAGAAACAGATTCCCTGTCTGGCCAGCCTGTAGAGAGCTGATCAAAACTCAGAAGCCTTATTCCTAATGAAATTCTAACAAAAATCAAAGCATTTCTAAATAGAACTCCCTCCTCCCATATCAAGAAAACATTTCCTATGAAAAAAAAATCCAAAAATTATCCATTCTGGGTCATCTGGATTTTTTTTTCAGTAAAACTGGAATATTTCATTTGGATTTTTATTTTTGAATGTTTACATTTTATTTTATATTATTTGGTTTATAGTTCTTTATTTTATACCTTTCTTATATTTTCACACCTTTCTTTTATTTTATCTGAAAATGAGATGGTAATTGTTTTATCATGATAACATAAGATAAAAATGGTGAATGGCATACCAATTTATCCGGCATTCTAGGCATTCTAGTAAATGGACCTTGCTTTTCTGATTGATAATTGGCATTTGAACTGATCATTTGTAATTTATATTCCAATTTGCAACTGATATCTGGGTTAATGTTTGGCATTGTGACATATGGATAATATAAAAAAATATAAAATTAAAAAAACTGAAATGAAAAGATGTTGAGAAACCCAACATTGAAATGTTTTGTCCTGGTAAATACCCCCTATCAGGACACTTCATTTCAACTTCTCCTAAAGTAAACTGTGGAAATAAGTGCAGTCCCCCAGGACCTGGGGGAACGTCTGTTCACCAGAGTGTCCCAAGGGATGACAAGGTCAAATGGTCACAAACTCCTCCGTGACTGTTCCAGGCTGGACACAAGGAAGAACTTCTTTACTGTCCAAGCCCCCAAGGCCTGGAACAGGCTGCCACCAGAGGTAGTGCAAGCACCTACTATGGACTCCTTTAAGAAACATTTGGATGTTTAACTTGCTGGGATCCTATGACCCCAGCTGCCTTCCTGCCCCTGGGGTAGGGGGCTGGACTCGATGATCTTCTGAGGTCCCTTCCAGCCCCAATGTCTATGAAATCTATGACATCTATGATAAAACGGGAGCTGTTGGCATCCAACTGGGAGGTATGAGGTTTGGGAGAAAAAATATTTTAAAAAGTTACTCTCCATTGTCTTCCTGACTCCTTTTTTTAGTAAAGAACAAATTCTATTTCACTGTGAGCTCTTTCAAGGGCAAGGGCCTGCAGTGTATTATAAATCAGTATACTCAGTATATTTAAAATGAGGGCCAGTCAAAAAAATTTCCATTAAACTGCTTTTAGAAAGAAAATTAGGTGTTTCAAACACCATGGTTTTATTTCAGAAACTATGTCAATGGGGGAAAAATACCATAACAATGTGTTTAATCACAGAAACAAACTCCCCCTCCCCCCCAACAAAAAAAGTTACATTCAGAAATACTGCTGCAATGCATGGGGGGACTCAAGCCCCCATTGTTCTTTATGGGCTAGGCTAAGCAAGCATAGTCTATCTCCCACAATGCACCACAGTAGTTCTACAAGTCGGGAGATCCTCTCATAACAAATGAGACCTAAAGACAAAGTCTTTTTTATTTTCAGGACAGGGTATAAAAACTGTATAGACATGGAGTGATTTATCAGTAGTTACTGCACCCAAGTAACAGATTAGGGGATCTATTTAGTGAAATAGCTAAAATTGTGGCTGTTTATCCAGAGCAGACCTCAAGACGCAGGATCAGAGAGAAATTTAGAAATGGGCTCTCACCACTGTAGGCTCGCCTGCATGTGGAACAGCCTCTAATGCATGACAGGAATGATTAGTAGCAGGCAAGCCTAAGCATATTCACAGGGGATTGGTGTTGCCAACAGTGACTTAGATTGAGACAATGAAACCATTTCATTTTGGATAATTTCAGAACTTTCCATTTTGACTGGGCTTCTTGAAATAGTTTTAAACATTCATTTATCAGAAATTAACAAAAGGGGGAGGAAGCTAGGAAGTCATTGCAAATGGGGAAAAGAAAACAGACTGTGTTTGGAAAATGTCAACATGGGACATTTGAGCTAGATCTAAATGTTTTTTTCACCTAACTGTATTTTGAATTGGAAGATTCATTGAAATGGATTCCCTCCCATAAATTTCAAGTAATTGTCAGAAAATGCCCAGCCGGCTTCTGTTACCTGCACCCTTACAGCAGGGTCTGGCTCCCACTCCCTTACCTTTTGATCTCTGTAGAAAGGGTCTAGGTCTTCTAGAGGCACCCCGATGAGTTCTGGAGGTGGGTCCCCATAAATAAGTGGAAGGCTCTTTCCAGCTTCCAGATCACTACTGGCCTTTCGTTCTTCTTCATCCAGCACTTCCACATGCTGCCGCTTTAACTTGAGCGCTTCCTCCTCAGCAATCCGCTGTTCTATTGCAGCAAGAGATTCACGGGTAAAAAGGCGGAGGTTGTCTGGACCTGGTAAGTATGGCGGGCTTGCCATCTTCTCATTCTGCTCTTAGAAAGCCTCTGCCTTGCTTCTTTGTGCAGGGAAGAAGCTAATGAAACAAAAAGGCAAAAGGTCTTTTGCACTCCACATCCATTTCACAGGCAGCCAAATTTTTCCCCTCTATAATGGGGCTGAAATGAACCCCAAGAGGTCATCTAGCACAGCAGCCTGCCCCAGGGCAGGATCAACTACGCTTAAATCATACTTAACGGGCCTTTACCTAACCTGCTCCCTGGGAAGACTATTCCAGTGCTCAACTACCTTTACAATTGGCAAGTTTTTCCTAATGTCTTTTCCTAAAACTTCCAGGCTGTTAGAACAGTAGAACAAGGTGCCCAGGGGAACTGCACCATCTCCTTCACTGCAGCTTCTCAAGAAGAGGTCAGATATTTCTGTATGGAAATTGTGCAGGGGCCAGGACTAAATGCCCCTTGAGATCCTTTCCAACCCCATGACTCTATGTCTAACCTAAGTTTCCTTACTATGTCAGCCCATTGTTTCTTGTCCTACGCTCAGAGGATCCACAACATGGTATTCTTGTGGCTCAGGGTGTGTGGTGGCCTGCACTTTAATCTTGGGGTGTGACACCAATACACTCTGTTGTCTTAGATAAGTCACTTAACTATCCAGTATCAGTTTCTGCATTTGCAAAAAGCAGTTAATATTACTGATCTACCTTACTGGGGAGGAAGGGACAAGATTTCATTTTATCAGCTGATCAGTATTTATAATAGGCTTTGAATATGCAAAGTTCTGATTATCATTCCTTTCACAATGGAAGAAATACTCCCAATTGTCCCTGGGCTGCCTGCCTGGCCACCTCCCTTCACTCAGCACAATACCATTTATTTTGAACTTTGCACTTAGCTTTCAGTAGGAACGTTTGCCACTATAACTGTGGTGACAGAGCTCTCCCTCATGGATGTGAACACATGGCAGCAAGAGTCCATCTGCTGGCATATTTATCCCACTTCCCCAAACAGTGTAAACCAAGCTGACAGAAGCACCCCCCTGTTGGCATAGTGGCATATACACCTGGCACAGCGGTGTTAGGGGAGAAGGGGCAGGAGGTGTCACACTTCTAGGTACCACCACTGTGCCTTCAAAACTTTTGTAGTATAGGTCTGACCTGAGTAGTTATTGCTATTTATGTTACCATAAGATGTAGGCAGTCCTACAGCTGTAAACTTCCTGATGAAACCAAATGAGGCCAGGTGCATTTCAAGTCACATTTCTGAAGGGGAACAAAGTTTTTGAGTCATCCCCCAGAGCTGCCACAGTGAATGTAACTCGGGTTCCTGCATGCTGCCCTGCTGTGCAGAGACCGGCATCACATTTCTCTGGCAGCTTGTGACAGCCGTATTGCTTCCATTTTATGCTCCATAAACTACACTACATGCTTAGAAATAAACAGGACTGGGGATTATGTGTCCAGCTGGTAAATGCTGGAGATCAATGTTCTCCTTTGTTTCCTTCAGCCACCCTTAAGTAGCAAGGTTTTGTGTTGCTTTTCAGTCAGGATTTCCCCTCCCAGGGGAATTCTGGGCACAGCTGGGGTCTGTGAACATTATTCCAACATAAATACTAAACAATCCAGCACTTTATGTGCAAGGGCCCTGTTGCATGCTTAAATTAAAGCTGGATAGAAACCAGCTACAGAGTTGTTACACATTTTCAAGCACTAACTATATGGGTGGTTGGCTTTTGTAGCTGGATACTCATTGTTATAACGTGATAATTACTTTGCATGTGTGGCTGGTCTAAATTTATGGCATGTTTAACCAGATAATTGTGTAATATATGTAATATGTAGAGGGGCCTCATTGTTCCTACAACCTAGCAAGTCCTGGATGAATAGTTATATTGTGAAGAGGCTGGACTAAGGAGCAGAGAGGCCCCTGTGTCACAAGGAGAGACAATCAACACTCCACATATTGATTTTTCCAAGGAAAAAAATTGAATTTTGACAAAAAAGTCCACATAATAAGTCACCTTGTTTTTCAATCTGAGGAGATGAAAATAATCTGAAATACTGATTTCTATTTCCCTTCTCCTTGTATTGGAAAATTGATGGAACTGCACTGAATAAGCATTGCACTTGAAAAAAAATTCAGATCTGCATGACAAAGACAGGTGGATTTCAGATGAAAATGCAAATGGGAAAAAATTAATTCACATGCTTTGACAAACTCCAGTGACAACAGAGGAAATCAGCAGTAACAAAGCCCAGCAAAGACAGAGAGCCCATGTTCCAGCCAGAGATTTTATGAGATCACTGCGGTGACCTGCATAACACAGAACCAAGAACATCAGCTGGGGTTCACTGCCTTAAGCCCCCCCACCCACACACACACACTTCCTTTTGGCTTGGAGCTTATCTTTTAGCAAGGATCTCCATTATTTTTTTGCATCAAGACAAGCATTATACTTGACAAAGACAGCTGAGCAAATTTGTTGGAGCTACAACAATTTAACCTAACCCAGGATCTGCCCAGAACAGAACTAATGTTGACTATGCTCTCACCACACTATTACTTAGCCCACTATTACCACAGTATTACTTATTTGGGCTGGAGGGCCACATAAGCAGTTTTGGTGAGGAGCCAGGGCAGGGGGAGGGGGGTGCTGACCTGGTATGGCAGAGGTGGGTGGGGGTGGTGCTAACTGGGCCCAATTCAGCCAGCTGGGGGCAGGCGGGGAGGATGCTGACCCAGCCCCAGCACAGTAAGGAGGAAGGGGGCATTGACCCAGCTCTGCTGCAGAGGGGATGGGGTGCTGATCTGGCCTGGCACAGTGGGGATCAGTTGATCCTATCAGGCACAGGCCCATCTGCCCTGTACTCACTGCCAGGGGCACTGGGTGGAGCAGGCAGGGTCTCCATGGAGACAGGCTGAGACCCCCGTGGACAGGGCGTGCTCACCTGGACAGACGGATTGGGGCTGTGGACGGGTGGGGAGTGCCATCTGGGAGCGGGACAGGTGGGCAGGTGCTGGGGCCAGGGCCAGGGCCAGGGCCACAAGGTCGTGACGGTGCCAGGTAGGGGCCCAGGTCAGAGCCGTGATCCACTCCCCAAATGGCCCTGTGATGTTACCGCTGGCCCCAGCCATGGCCTCTGGCTGCTTGTCCCACTTCTGTACCCCGACTCCTGCCTGCCCGCAGCCCCATCCCATCCCATCTGCACGTACCACAGCCCAAGTTGCCCCCATGCCTGAGCCAGGTGAGGCTGAGGGATCCACTGTGGGCCAGATACAATCCCTTGGCAGGCCAGATCCAGCCCATAGGCAGTATTTAGCCCACCCCTATCTTAGCATCGGTTGGGTGTAAGGCAAAGTCTGGCTACCTAACGCCCATTATAAGTAAGGGAGCCTGGATCCTGAGATTGAAAATCTCAGTCTATAATTCAAATCAACAGTCAGGTCTTAAGGTGATTAAAAACCCAGAGATAAAATCAGCAATAAAGAGAGGTATTGATTTCAAATGCTGCCATACAATCTCATTGAAAGAAACCACAAATGTCTTCAGTATTACTGAGGAATTGAATCACAATCATATGAAGTGGATTTTTCCTTAATCTCCATAATCATTGTATGAGGTAATGTTCTCCCCATGGTAAAGCACAATGTAAGGATTATATACCCCTGAAATCCCACTTTGTCCCAGTTTGGAGGACAAAACTAGTGCCTATTCCTTGTTGTTAGACTGTGAGGTCTCTGTGCTGTGTCTGTATAGGACCTGGCACAATGGTGTCTTGGTCTGGGATGGCAGCTCCAAGGACCTAACCCAACAAAAATATATAATAATACTAATGTATTGACCTTTCCTATAGGGCAAATTCAACCCATGGTACATTAAAATTAAGTTGAGTGAGCACAGACTTCAGCTTACAAATGAGAAAGACGTTTCTGAGCAGGGAGAGTTTTGCCTTAATTTAACTGATGTGCCTAACAGGTTAGGTTGGGCCACTTCAGCATGATCCACTGCCAGGTACTTCCCCTCACCCTTTAACTTGGCACACCTAAAAAGCGCTTGGTGTTCAGAATGTGCTGAATACCTCCCCTTCCTTATCTCCCAGCCCCCGTTTCACCATTGCAATCAGAGAGTGTGGGCCTGGGAGACTCATATCTCCCAGCGCTGGCTCTGTGGTCGTGGGGCCAGCACTGGCTGACAAGGGTCTCCCAGCTCTGCCCCCATGACCATGGAGCTGGTGCTGAAAGCTCCCTGCTGGTGGGGACTGGGGACCCTGTTCCTTATCTCCCAGTGCCAGCCCCATGACCACGAAGCTGGTGCTTGGAGATAAGGGTCTCCCAGCACCAGTCCCACAACCACGGAGCTGGCACTGGGAGAGAAACGTCTCCCAGCACCAGCCCTGCACCCGTGGAGTTGATGCTAGGAGCTCCCTGGTGGCAGGGACTGCGAAGCCTGCTCCCCACCCAGCTCTGCGATCACAGAGCTGGATGGGGAACCAACTCACCAGCCCACTCCCCACCCAGCCTCTGCAATCGAGGAGCTCAATGGGGAACAAGCTCTCCAGCCTGTCCCCCACCCAGCTCCCTGATCACAGAGCTGAACAGGGAACAGACCCTCCAGCCTCAGCCCTGAGATCACAGAGCAGGGACTGGAAACTGTCCCGGGCGGAGGCAGGTCCCAGCCCTGCACCCTAATCAGGCGATCGGTATGGGGCTTGGAAAGAGCTGCAGGGGTGAGGCAGGTTGAAGCAGAGGGCTGGGACCTGTCCCACCCTTGCAGCTCTTTCCAAGTCCCCTGCCCCAATTGGGGAGCCGGGGCCAGGAGACACCTGCCTCCCAGCCTGGTGCTCCCTGACAGCCTTTGGGCTAGCACCCAGGGAGAGCCTAGAGCTTCCCCTAGTGGTGGCATGGGCCCATTGGAAGGCCCCAGGAAGTGGGAGCAGTTTTCTGCCATTAGCTACAAATCTGCTCCCACTTCCCTGCATGTGTAGACACCTGCCTGGGAACATTTACTCACAAGTAAACTGCTCCCATATCTAATGCATGAGTAGACACCCCCAGAGACAAGCAACCAGAA